AAAAGGAAAAAAAAAAAAAAAAAAAAAAAAAAAAAATATATATATATATATATATATATAGATATATATATATATATATAACATAAATGAAGATAAAAAGATAAAGTATAAAAGTTGTTTAACACTTAATAGTAAAATAAAAAATAGAAATATAAAAGAAAATTGAAATTGAACTACATACGATAATACATATAATAATAAAAATAGGTATATTAAGAAAATACTTCTATAAAGTTTTAATTAATTTTAATTTTTTCTTTTTTTTTTTTTATTTATATACTTACCCTTTTAATGTGCTAACTCTTTAAGGTAAGATTCTTTAATTCTATCAAATTCAGAATAATCAAAACTTTGGCAATTACCATTTTCATCATATGTAATAACTTGTGGTTGTGGAGGTTCAAAATTATGTGCTTTTGCTTGTATTTGTGATTCTTTAACATATTCATCCATTCTTTTTAATTGGTTTTCATTAAATAATTTTAATTCATCTAAGTGAGGATTTAATTCCTTTATTAATGTATCAATTTGATCTTGTGATAAATCTACATATTTAACAGATTCTTCAGCAACTCCTTTCGTCTTAGCTGAAATACCGAAGTAACGTGGCACATAGACATTTACTGGAACCAAATGAGGAATATATTTTTCTACTTCTACTTCTAAAACTTCATTAGATATTTCAATCTCAGGTTGAATTATTTTTTTTGAAACAACTAAAATTTCATTTTCTACAATATTTGGTACTATATAAGGAACATCTACTGTATTATATTTTGGTTGTTTAATTTCTTCGCCACTAGGAATTTCAATAGTTTTCTCAACTATATCAGTAACTATTTTTGGTTTATATTTTGTTACATATTTTGGTACCTCTACATATTCCACTTCTTCTTTTTCAACATCTTCTTCTACGTTTGTTGTATCTTCATATACGTCTATGTATTGAACGTAAGTTGTTAAATAAACTTTTTCTTTTATTATATAATTTTCAATTTCTTCAACTCCTTCTACATGGATACATGGATCAATTTTATATTTTGAGTTATTTTTATAATAATCTAAATTTTTTAAATAAGAATCTTTATTTGATTCTAATATTTTGTTTAAGGAATCTTTAATATAATAATTGTCATTATCGTTGTCTTTTTCATTTCCTTTTTCATATTTATTTTCTTCTGGTTCATCTGTTCCCTTATTTATATTCTCAAAATCATAATTTTTATTATTTTTATTCAATTTAATAGTCTCCATATTTTGTAGGCCTTCACCTAAATCTTTTAATGTATCTTGATACATATAAGAGGAATTTTTTTCTTTTTCCATCTTTAAAAAAAAAAAAAAAAAAACAGTTAAAAAAAAATTAGCACGATTAATGAACAATAAAATACAAAAATATTAAATTATTTAAATATTTAAAAAAAAAAAAAAAAAATTAAAGACTCCTTTATTTTTTATAGAAATAAGATAAATAAAATGCTAAACTATTTTTATTACACAACAGCTTATACAAAAGTATATTATATTAATATATCCCAATTCAACAAAATATTTTTCTATTCTTTGAAAGTTTGAAAGATTAATATTTTTTTAAATTTTCTTATTATAAAATCTTAGTGGAAAATAAGGAATATAAAATATTATGTAAACTCTTTTATTATTATTTTTCTTTTTTTAAATAATGATTTATATATATTTATATTGTCTTATAAAAAATTTATTTTTGTTTTAATCTTTTTTTTTATATATTTTTTTTTTTTTTTTTTGAAATGTCCTACAATAACTAATTTAAAATTAACTTTTTATTTTTGTTTTCCAAGAAAAATCGTTCTCAATATCAATTAGCTTATTCTTTTATACATGCAATTATAAGAAAATGGTTCTTAAAAAAAAAAAAAAATAGAATACATAAAAAAATATAGAGTATTTTAAATCTTAATTGGTAATAACTAGTTATAGAGAAATATTAATATATAATTTTTTTTTTTTCATAGTATGCTAATATAATTTTAACGTCATTACACACATTTTTTGTTAAGGTATCTTTGTTACATTAATGTTTTTTACTATTTTTATTTTTTTTTTTTTTTTTTTGAATATTCACAATAATTTTATAGTCTATTATTTATTTTTAATTAATTACATAATATTTAATTTTTAAAATTATTTAAAATATTTTTATCCTGTTATATTCTTTTTTATTACATTAATACTTTATGAAGGGTCACTAGAAAAAGATGAAACTTAATTTTTTTTTTTTAATTGCTCATTTTTTTCTTTCTTTTTAATATGTTATAACTTTCATAATGTTTTCTTCATTTAATCTATGTTTTATTTTAATAAACTCATTTAACAATATTAAGAAAAAGAAATTAGGAACTACAAAAGTATTTAATACTAAAAGTTTATTTAAAATACTTATTTTTTTCACATTTAAGTATTTAATGATTAATATAATTATGTATAATTATAATTATATATTTGAAGATGAAAAAAAATATATATATGTATTAAATATTCACATAATTATACTTAATAATTAAAATGTAAAAAAAAAAAAAGGCATATTATATCTCTAATGCACTTTATTATGCTTTTTAAAAATATGATGTTGGCATGGTGCACTTCTTTTAAGACTTTGGTACTTTTTTTTTTTTTTAGCAAATTTTATGAAAATCTTATAAATTAGATCAATTTTAATAGGAATAATTTTTATTTTACAAAGTATATTCAAAATTCATGAAAGAAAAAAAATATCTTTTTCTAAATTATATAAATGTGTTTCTATAAAAATACAATTTATTTAAAATATCTTTGAGATTGTTAATGTGCTAGTAGCTGTACTTTTTTTTCCGCGCTTCATAAAAATTAAAAATATATAACAATAAAAAAGGAAAAGAAATTTATGAATAAGAAATTTTTATATCAAAAATCTTATAAATAATAAATGCCTTATAAATACATATTTTTATAGTCTTTTACTAAAATGCCTTAAAAAGGAAGTATGCTTAAATGTATAAAGGAAAAAAAAATGTTTGTATTATTTCATTTTTTTTTTTTTTTTTTTTTTTTTTAGAGAAATGAATTGTAATATTATAATAATTTTAAATAATTTTTGAATAGCTAAATTTCTATTTCTCCAATTCTTTTCCGAAAGAATAACATTATATAAATAAATAACCAAAAATATACTTTTAATTTTCTCTTTTTAATTATGACTAATAATTTTTATTATAGATTTTTATAAATGTATAACAGGATATTAATGGAAATAAATTATTTTCTTTGTTAACTTTTAAAATTTATTTTTCTTTTAATGTTTTTAATAATATCATCCAATGAAGCCTTGTGCATGCAGAAAATAATAAGATTATAAGCATTATCTTGAATGTATCTACTTATAAAATGTAATTATTGAAATATTTTACTTTTTAATTATTTGAAATTTTAAAGAATATCTAAGAAATAACATATTACTTTTATTGAATTATTTTTTAAAACTGTTATGCATTCCTTATTCCTTATTTTGCAAATTTTATGAAAGTAGCTTTTTTCATTTTTTTTAAAAGTTAGACATAAATATATATACAACAACAGATTATAGTTTACATGTATTTTTTTTTAATGATTGTACATTTTTAAAACATACTGTATTTATTATTTTTTATGAATATATATAAGAATATTTCTGTTTTTTAAATGATAAACAGAAAAAGGAATAATAGAATATAAATTTCTTAAGTAATATTAAAAATTATATATTATTTTTTTTTTTTTTTTTTTCATAAACACTAGCTTATATTTGAAATGTTAATTAAATATTTAAAAAATTAAATATACAATATATTTATTTGTTATCTATATTAATTTAATTTTTATTTTTTCAAATATTACTTTTTCATTATACTTGAATATGAAGAGTATTGTTATTATTAATTTCATAATTTAAACATATGCTAAACCTTTTTATATTTTCACATTTGTTGTTCATATTTTTTAAAGAAATACAATGAATAGAATTACTCATCTTTATGTGATTTTTTCATTTTCAACGTAAACACCACTTATTAATTGTAAATTCTTAGTGTAAGACATGCGTTATTATGATTTATGCTTGATAATTTTTTTAATATTATATTTTTTTTTTTTATAATTTTTATTTTTGCATTTTTGCATTATCATTTTAATTTTTTAAGCTATATAACTATTTAGATTTTCTGAAAAAAAATAAAAAAAAAACTTATGAGTTTGTTCAGAAATAGGTTTCTACATCCACAAAGAATCATTTTATTTTTTTTTCATTTTTAATATTTTATAAGACTTTTTCTTAATTAACAATATATACCTAAGGAAATATAAAATTATTGAAATAATTTACTATTCTCTTAATTTAAAAACTATGAAATATTATCACTATAGTACATCAGCTTTATAAGATTAAATTTACTATTCTTTAAGCATGCATATTATTATTACTCACATAATTAATACAATTTAATGACTAATATCAATTTAACTTTATGACTTTAAGTTATATGAATACAAAATAGTTTTATTGGGTATGAATATGAAATATATTTAACTAAAAAATAATAATAAAAAATAAAAACCACAAAATGAATGAAGAACAATAATGAAAAAGTGTTTACATGTTTAGTGTATTCCTTTCTTTCGTTAAATAATATTATTCATTTGAATTTTAACAATTAAAGATAAACTTAAAAAATATACTTTTTAAAAAATAAAAAATTACTATTTAAAATATTTCAAGAAATTTAAAAAAAAAAATTTTTTTAAATATTTTTCTATCATCATTGCATAATTTTATTTTTTGAAAGAATATTTTTATACATGTAAAAAAAAAAAAAAAATGTTAATATTTAAAAGATTTATTGTATTTCATATATTTCTTGGAATTTTAATATTAAGGAGATTAATAAGAAATTTTAGAAATAGAATAATTTTTCTTTTTTTTTAAAGAATAAAATTAAAAATCCTCTTTAATTTTTTAGATAAAAAAAAAAAATGTAATATGTTAAAAAAAAAAAAGAGTACCTTTATACGGAGGTAAATAGAGAAATTATATGAATATTTTTGAAGAAATTGAATAATTTTTTCATAAGTAAAAAAATGTGTGAATAAAGAAGAAATAATTATAAGATATATTTATATAAATATATATAAATATATATTTATATATATATATAAACATGAATTTATAAAAAAAAATGGGATATACGTCAACATTAAAATTTGTAAATTTAGGAGTTAAAAGAAGGTTATTTCGAAGAGCTCATAAGCAACCACATCATAAGTGGGATAGTATAAAAAATCAGTTAAACGATTTATTAAAATATGGAAGAATTGAAACCACCTTAACAAAAGCTAAAGAGTTGCAAGGATATGCAGAAGAATTAATTTATTTAGCAAAGAAAGATAATGTAGAAAATAATTTAAAAGTTGAAAGTATGTTAAGAACAGCACAAGGAAGAAGAAGGTTATATGAATATTATGTTCCTTTATATAGGTATAGACCATTTTTTTTTACTAGGGTTGTAAATCAATGGAGATTGCGATTAAGAGATTCTGCACCTATGGCTTTTATTGAATTTATAGATAGACCAGGGGAATTAAGACCCGCTAGACCTTCTGGATATGATAGAATTAAATATATATTTGAAGAAATGAAAAAAAATAGAAGAAATTTTAGAAAATATTTTCATATTGCAAAAAGGTTTAATCTACTGGATGAAAATAATCAACTAATTTCAAATTTACATGAACACTTAATTTCTAAAAATGATAATATGGTAAAATACATTATAATATTCGTAATATTTTACCTTTTAACAAATATTTATGTGTATTTTCATTGTATGTATATTAATATGCGGGTTTTTTTTTTTTTTATCTTAACACTCATTATTTAAATATTTTAATATTACATTGATTAATAATAATTATAAAGAAAATGTATTCATATATTTATGGTAATTTAAATTTCCTTTCTTTTTCATTTTATAGTGGGATAGTGACGATGAAGATCAAATAATAGTAGATCCAGAATTAATTGAAAAATATAAACATTTAAGTGAGCCTATGCTAAAAGGGCCTAAAAAAGGAAGAGAACCATTTTATGTTGACTTACCTATTCCAAGTGTTGCTGAAAGAGAATTTTTAAATTACAGAAAAAAATTCAAACCATAATAAATTAATATAGTTCATTTTTTTTTTTTTTTATAAAATACTTTTTGTATTAATAAAATATAAAAATTTTGAATATACTTCAAACTTTTTTTAATATGTTTTACGATGCTTTTTCTTTTTTTTTTAATATGTAATATTAAAAGAATTATTATAATTTTTTCTTTAATTACTAGAAAAAAATATATGATGTTAATAAAAAAAAATACTTTTTATTTATATATTAATTGAAATCTTAAAATGTTTTAGCCTATTAAATATTTTAGTTTTATTAATTGCTAGAAAAAAATAAATTAAACATTCATTATGGTTAATATATTCTTATCTCTAATAACAAAAAATTAACACATTTATAAAATATATTAAAAAAAGATAAAATATAAAACACCTATATAAAAAAAAAAAAAAAAAAAAAAAGGTTTATCTGAGTTAAATTTCAAGCACTAAAATTTTTTGAAAATTTATGATAATTCAATAATTTTTAACTATGAAAACTTTAAAATATGAATTTGAAATAAAATGAAACTTTCATCTTAATAAAATAATTAAGAAATATAAAATTATAAAAATTTATAACATATATATTTAATTATATATGTATTACATTTTTTTTTTCTTTAAGTTGTGTTAGATGAATATGAAAAATAAAAATTAAGTAAAATAATTTCAAAATAATATATTAAAATAAAAATATATGAGTTAAGTGCGCATTTATAAAAACACAAAAAAAAAAAAAAAAAAAAATTAAATAATCTAAATATTATTATACTAAAATAAAAATATTAAAGTTTTAACAATTTATATAAGCAATTAAAAGAAAAAATAAAATAAAAATGTTATATATACAATTCATGAAATAACATTTATATATTAAGAAATTATAAAATAATATATTTATATATAAATCAAAAAAGAAAGAATATATGTATATATATGAACACGCGTTAATGAAAAAAAAATATTTAGTTAAAATATAATATATATTTCAAATTTTTATATAAAAATTATGAAATAACTTTTGGTTAAAAAAAAAAAAAAAAAAAAGATGGAAATGATTAGAAGTATATTAGGATTTAATAAGCTAGTGACATTTAATGAAAATAAACTTTTATTAAAAAGTTTGAATGAAAAGGAGAATTTAAAAATTGAAAATGTTAGAGCAGAAGATTATCCTATACCAGAAAAATATTTAGAAGATCCAGAGAAAATTCCGAAATATTATGTTTTTCAATCTAACATGGTTACAGATGAAGATTTACAGCCTGGCATGTTAAGGCAATTAGAGGTTGATAAAAGATTAACCTTACCAACAAGGACACACATATCTTTTTTAGTAACAGCTACTGATGTTATACATTCCTGGTCTATACCAAGCTTAGGCATAAAAGCTGATGCAGTACCTGGTCGTTTACATAAAGTAACCACTTTTATTTTAAGAGAAGGTGTTTATTATGGACAATGTTCAGAAATGTGCGGAACTTTACATGGATTTATGCCAATTGTTGTTGAAGCAGTATCACCAGAAGCATATGCAGCTCATGCGAAAAAATATTATAGAGAATAAATTTTATTTTTTATTCATATAATTACTACTTTTAATCATAATATACCTTTTTATTTATAATTTTATTTCCTTTTATTATTTTGTTTTATTGTATCCTATTTTTTTTTTTTTTTTTTTTCTTTTTGTAATTTTATACCTCATTTT